ATCCAGCCAGTGTTTCACCCAGCAGAGTATCATCTAGTCTAGACTAGATCATCTAGTCCAACCCCCCTGCCAGAGCACGGTCACCCAGGGCAGCCACACAGGGACACATCCACGTGGGTTTTGAAAGTCTCCAGAGAAGGAGACTCCACAGCCTCTCTGGGCAGCCTGTGCCAGGGCTCTGGCACCCTCACGGTAAAGAAGTTTCTCCTCACATTGAGGTGGAACTTCCTATGCTCTAACTTAAACCCATTATTTCTTTTTCTATTGCTGGCACCACTGATCATCTCATTAAATGATTAATATCGTAATGACTAGAAGTTCATTTGCTAAAGTCAGAGAAAGTTCTGCTTATCTCTATAGTTGCCTGCTTTGTGGGGTTTTTTATTATTTTGGTGGGTTTTAAACAATTTAAGGGAAAGTCAAATTACCAATTATGTTATTTGGTACTTGGAGACCTTTTCTGTAACAGTCCTTGTGCGTTATCTTTCCTGGTACAAACTGTATGAACACATGCTTTTTCCAGGATTGCTACCCTGCCGACTTCCATGGTGGTTGTTTCAGATTGCCTCTGTAGTTGAATATTTTTAGGGGTTTTTTCCCCTCAGAGAGTAGTTCATTTGCTTGTTGTCAGCAGCTGGCATGCTTGTGGTTCCAATAATGAGCTGCTAAACCTGCTTGTATGTTAGTGATACAGAGAGAGGATAGGGAAGGATTTTCCCACTGGGCATATCAGTAGGCAATCCCAGTAGAAGACCTCTGCAGCTGGAGAGAAGGTGGCACTTCTGGGTAGGGTTCAGATTTTCCAGCATTCAGTCTTGCAGCTGCTGCTCAACTAGTGCTCTGCATCACTGACTGGAGACACGTATTGACTCTACTGACTGTCAGAGTTGCTTAGGATACTAAATTAGATACCAGCATCGGATACTGAGTGTAGATGGTGGGAATATATCTTTGCCGTCCATACTACCTAACTCACTGTGAGGTGATTTGTGTCACGGGGGAAACCTAATGGCAGAACTGCACGTCCAGATGGCCTGAGATTTGCCCCCAAATTCTTTGTTTGTGCATTCAGGTGGAGTATCTCTGACCAGCTTGGGTAGGCACATGCTGAATTGTCAGCTCTTGGTGCACAGAGACTGAATTTGTAATTTCAGCCCATTAACCTCAGAGGCTGCTTTGTACAAAGCTTGTTTGATTTTTGGCAATTTTCTATTACCTACTGCGTTTAGTTGCCTGTTGAGCACAGCTGTTGGGCATAGCCTTGAATAAAGTCACTCAAGTCATAGAACTGATGCAGCTAAGACTGCAGCTAATCATTATATACATTGTCTTTAAAATAATAGGGTAGTAGTTCTTGCACATGCCATAAGAATATTTTAAAAATACTTTGAAAGTACTTATCGTTCTTACAGATGAGGTGTGTTGCCTTTTGGTGTAGGGTCTGAGATACCATCACCCACAGATGTCTGTGTCTGCGTGGAGCATTTCTCAATTCCCAACAGTTACTGCTTTTGGAGCAGTCAGCAGTGGAAACAAGCACCCAAGTGTCACTCGCCCCCATCTCAGTTAGCTTAAACTGCTAAACCATGTAGATTTGCACAGTTTTGTCTAGGCAGAGTCAATGGTGCTCAAAGCCTAGGGCACACACTCACTTCTGAACTGTCCCAGGTCAGTCATTTGGGGCAGTGGGAGATGGTCTTAGGCTGCCACAGCAGTTTTGAGTCACTGCACCTGTATCGCAGGCCACAGCTACACATATTTTGAAACACAGCAAAGAGCTTGGTACAAGCTTTTACAGCCTTGTTATGTTGTCTCTGGTTGCTTAATAAAAAGCCTCCAAGAGTTCTCTGTAATAAACAAAAGTAGCTGTGAAATTGTTATGGGGTTTTACATGGCATTTTGAGGATGTTTTCAGAAGCTTTTCCATCCGTATGAGAGATTGTTGGCTGTTTTGATGTTTTTCGAGTTGTCGTTTGGCTTTAGAAATGCACAATTAGTTGCATCTTAAAGTCACTTGGAGTCCAGTTTTTGGCAGCTGTGATGCACATGTGTTATAATTAGATTCAGTAAGAAGTTCTTGGGCTTTAAGTAATCATGAAACTGAAGTACTCCCTAGACTCACACCATTTTAAGAATAATAGGAGAGACTAGTCCTCTCATAAGAGCTCTGAACAGACATCACCTGGGCAAGACTTGGGTGCTGACTTAAGAAGGAAAAATGACTGGCTAGGAAGAAGACTACGGGATAAAATTCTTGCTCAGACAGACTTTTAGCACACTTCTGCGTGCATGTCTTAGGAAAAAGGCCTCTGTCCACCCAGTTTGACATGTACATGCACAGTGGAGATGCAGGTTCTGAATACCAGAGGTGAAACCCTGGCCTGCCTCATGTGAGCAGTTTTGCTGCGTGTGTGAGAGAGGGGGACTGGATGGGATAGACAGGAAGCAACAGCTACTGTGTGGGGGGCTCATCTTGTTGAAGGCTCATCAGTGCTTGACATCTCAAAGGTGCTACCTGCTGTCATATTTCAACTTCCGTAGTATGTATGACTTCACTTTGGCAGACTTGTGAAAAATTTTGCTTTGTTTAGGGCAACTGCATAGGAAATATTTTGCTGTTTTATTAATTTATTTGTAGCACTTGACTGCAGCCTTTTTTCATGCTCTCAGTAGTCTTCAGGGAAGATACCACCTTTTTACGTGTTGACTTGCAGCTAGGAACAAAAAGTATATATGTATCTTGTCAATTTCTGTAAATTTTTAACAGCACAATGTCTCCATGCCTGGTGGAAGATCCTCAACTTACACAGCTCAGCTGAATGCATTGCAACCATATACCAAATACCAGTTCAGGGTGCGCTGTTCGGCTGCTGACAGCTTTTGGAGGTGGAGTGACTGGAGCAGGATAGAGGAGCACACAACTTCAGAAGCCCGTAAGTTTATTTACTTCTTTGATAATAAAATGTTGAACATGTGAAGCCATATATTTTAAAATCAATCATCTGAAAAACTAACTTTTTAATAGTTGGTAAATGATCGTCTCTGCAACTCAGAAAAAAAAAGACTTTTTTTTTTTTCCTTAGCTCCTACAAGAGGACCAGATATCTGGAGAGAGAGAAGTCCTTCTGGAAAAAGTGTGAAAATCTTCTGGAAGGTAGATGGAATGCTTAAAGTTTTAAAATAATAAGTATATAACTCTCTGAAAAACTACTTCCTTAGATTTTTAAACAAGTGAACTTTATAGCCAATAAATCAGACTACTTTTCTTAAGTTTTTATAGAACTATCCACTGAGACAAATACTTTTCCCAAAAGGAGAACTGTTAAAGTTTTACAATTTAAACATTGCATTGAGAAGCATTTCACATGAAGAATCAAATTTTTAATACATCCCATCTGAAAATTTAAAAAGTACAAACTCAAGCATTAATTCTCAAAGTTACACTTGACTAAATCAGGATATTAAATCATATTATCTTATGTGTTCTTTTTCTTTTCTTTTATTCCATTTTGATTTTAATGCACTCTTTGTCTGTTTATAGCCTTTATCCCTTTCTGAAGCCAATGGAAAAATAGTGTCTCATGAAGTGTCCTGCTCCCTACTAGAGACACCACTGGAGCATAAAGAAGTAACTGAACCCTCAAACAGTACTGAGATAAAACTTGGAAATAATGACTGTGTAATTAGCGTTGTAGCCAAAAACCATGCAGGCTCGTCTCCTCCTTCGAGGATAACGAGTGTGGAACTTCCAAGTGGTGAGTGCTCCCACCAGAAAGCTAAACACCTTCAGAGCTTGGGCAAGTTTAAAACCTGGGCAAGTTTATTGAAAAAATAAGATAGATACGTGATTTGGTTGGTTGGTTTTAGTTTCTGGTTAAATTCCCCACTCAAATCTACTGGATGAGAAAAGAAAAAAAATGCTGCTTTAGTTTTAGGATAGTGTTTCTCCAGTTAATTGTGCTCTCTGCATAAAAGAAGGGTGATGGTTTGCAGTCTCTGCAGCTATTTGCACTTTTCTGGAGACCTCCCAGGAAGAACAAGGATGAGCCTTCAGAGCATTAGTGTTGATCTCTGATGCTTAGGGAGCTCATTTTATTTATGCATGTTCTATCTGAGACACTGAAAAATGTTACATGCTAAAGAGAATAAGAATAAAGCTTTGGGAGTGTTGTCTGTTTTTTTAAGGGAAGGATTGTCAGTTCAGTGCCTGTGTGCTCTGCAGGAGAATATTAATTGGGCTATTTGGGAAAGTGTTGGCATGCTTCTGGTAGGAGACAGTGCTTGAAAAGAAGGTAGAACTTAAGCTTCCCGATTAAAGCACTGCCACTCTTGCTCTGGGCTTTTGTAAAGGGAAGTAGCTGAGCCAGATAATGATTTTCAGCTCCCAACACTGATCTTGGGGAGAAGATAATATTGTATGTGGCTATTGAGAGTCCCTGCTTCCCTGACCGTCAGGAAGAGTGTAATCTCCCAAAGCCTAAACTTTTAGCTGCAGATCTGGCTGATGCTCTGCAGGGAGGACAGATTTACGCAGCGAGGCCCCTCTTTGCTTGCTTATCAGGAGCGTACGTGGTGCTGCTTTTCCTTCTCCACCCAGAGAACAGGCATCACGGTTGCCTGTCTTGCAGCTCGAGTTCTGATAAGACAGGACCATCTCTCTTAGGAAGAAATGTGTTTTGACTGAGCCTGAGATAAAAAATTAGTTTGTTTCTATGCACAGGAACTATTGCTCTTAATGTTTTTTGTCACAAATACCTAGAAGTATTAGTCTGCTCCTTGGAGGGTAAAGTAATTGGATGGGGCAGTTGAATGAATGAAAATGCTTTTGTAGGTCTCCTTCAGCAATGAAAGAACAAGAGTCTGGAAGCTGAGGAGGTCTCTTTAACAGGTTTGTGGTGTGGGACAGCGGATGGCAGCTGGAGCTTTGTATTCATTTATAGCTTTCTCTCGGATATCTGAGGTTCCCTTTGGTGTTACCCAACTTGTACTTGTTGAGGACTTGCTCCCAAGTTGGTATAGGAATTATCTGAGTCACTGCCTCAGAGAGTCATGAAAGGTGACTCATTCACTGAACTGGATGACATTTCTCCCCAAACATCTTTTCTGGCTGCTTCCTGTATACAGTCTGTAAGTGCGCTTGATGTCCGTAAGAGAGCAGTGGCTCTGAAGCTTGAGATCTGCTGAGGTTTTGTGAAAACTGAAAACACAGACAAAGGGTACCCGGCCTTAATTAATTTGTCTTTGTCTCTGAGGAATGCTATGTAGATAGTTATGGCATATAGTCTGGCTATTAGAGGCTCCTCTGCCATAGTAGTACTGTAGTTCTGGTAGTTATCTCTACTCCACTAGGTTGCAGCTATAAATACATCAAAATCAGCAGTACTGCCCTGGGTGAATTTCTCGTCATCTGGCTCAGGAAGTAAAATTCAGTGTGGTGTGTTTAAACATTTTTTAGAGAGTATGTCTTCACTGTCAGTAAAAAGTCTTTCCTGTAAATAGGAAAATTAAAGCAGTCTAATTAGGAATATGCTCTCTTCAAGAGTTGTAGAAGTGTAGTTTCACGGGATGCGTAGGGAAAAATATTGAAAGTATTGAAAGACTTCTGGAGTTGATTTGCTGTTTTTAATCATGTGTGTCTGTCTTGTCATGAGCAAGCTAGAAAAGCTTGGTGCACTTAACTGTATGTTAAGATTATTTAGAAATAGACAGTCCCTCCACATTCACAGCACGTCTGTGAGAATGAAGTTTTCACAGCACTGGTTCTTAAAAACTGCCCTTGCCCTTCAGCCTTCCATAGTTTGTGGCTTTAATAACATGAAATAATAGACTCAGTAGGGAGCATAAATGAGAACACTGAAAAAGGAAAAACTGAAACCCTGAGATTGCTTTTGCAGATCTGTCGTGGGGCCACAGCTGTTGTGGTGGCCTTTGGAAAACATCCTTAGCTCGGCAGGGTCCCATCTGATGGACAGCTATGCAGGGAAGCTGCAGGAATCAGAAGATATTCCCAGATCTGATCACTTCAAGGGCAGCTAAATGTTTGAGAGTCAGGAAAAAAAAAATAAACTAAAGGCAAAGCTTTTTTTTTAAAAAAAAAAAATTTACCCTTAGTAGACTGGAGCTTCCATGAAGTTCACCAGGGACTTGACTTTTGCTGTTGATTCTCAGTGAAAAATGGTTCTCTGTGGTTGGGCGAGTGACAGCAAGACACTTACAAAGAGGCACAAAGCAAACTGTTTGATGCAATGACAGGAAGAATTTATAGCTGGAGGCTCCTGCCAAATTGGTGTCAAGTCAGATTTGAACCTGACATCTGCTGTAAATGCATACCTTGAAAAAGTGCTTTTTAAGCCAGTCCTGAGCTGCAGCACTTCTCGTCATCATACTTAAGGCTGGCTGAGGGATTTGCTGCAGGCTATGTCTTGTTTCCAGCACTTTAGAAAGCACAGCTGAGTGCACTGCTTCAAATTTCACAGTACTAGGAGCGCGCCTCTCGTTCTTAGAAATGACTGCAGTTTATAAAACCTTTGTGCTGTTGGCTGGAAGGCTTTCTTCCAGCTTGGGCTACAGATAGGTGTCTGTTCTCTGATGGATTTTTGTGTCATCTTTGTTGCAGACAATGTCAAAACAGATCGGGCCATGGCAATGGGGAATGGAATTTATATTTCTTGGAATTCTTACCCCAACATGACCTGCGGCTACATAGTAAAGTGGTGTCATTCATCTGGGTCTGAACCCTGTAGTGTGGACTGGCAGAAATTTCCTTCAAATACAACAGATGCAGTGATAAAGTCTGGTAAGTCAGAAGTAATTTTTTTATGAATTTTTCTGTTTGAAAGCCTGAGCAGTGAGTGGAATGAGAGCAGCACCAATGCTAGAGGTGGAAGATTGTTGCATTGCTGTGTGTTTGTGTATATAAATGAACCTCTTCTTGGTACTATGTTTATTTTAATTCCGTACAGAGCCTTGCCAGATCCAAATATCAGTCTTAACTGTTATCCTATGTTTATTAACTGTTTTGAAATTACCTCTTCTGGCTACACCCAACTTCCCGACTCAGCCTAATGCAAGCCTAAATGCATAATGGTTAATCTAGAATTTGGGGTTTTATTTGGATTCTAAACATAAACAGCACTGCTCAGGATGGGGGAAGACTAATCCGTTGTTTTTACATGAGGCAGATTTTTTTAAGTGTGACCTCCATGTGTTGGCTTGCTGTCAGCAATTGAAATTTCCTGGAACAGGGCACATTCTAGGTCTCTAGATGCTGGTGGGCAGATCAGGGAAATGAAACTCAGCTGTGGAGGGACTAGCTGGAGCAGAAGAGAAGAGAGAGAACCCAATTTTCTTTTTAGAAGAGTTTAGTATATAAAGTCTCCATCATAGAGAACAATGTGAGCTGTGTACACAGGAAAGTTGGAGGGCAGTGGGACCTGGGAGCGGGGGCAATATGTTTTCCGCCTAAAATTACAACACTGTGTTGTTTTCATTTGTGCTGGCTGGAACTTGCATTTGCTAAGCGGACAATACTATATCTGTCCAACAATGCACTGTTCTATTCCTGAGCTCTTCCTTGGGATGTTTCTTGCAGCACGATGTAGGAGTTACCAGGCTGCTGGGGCTGGGCTCAGTCTGGCAAATCCACCTCTGTGCTTAGTCCTGTCAAGAGAGTCTCTCGGGCTGGACCTGAACTTCTGCAAAACCTGCTTGACTTCTGTAGAGTTTCACAGTGGCATCTTGTTTAGAAAAAATCTTGACAATAGCGTACACTTCTGAGTTGAGAAAGTCTCATGAATTGGTAAAATATTTATGTGTTGTAGTGTCAAACACCTATGCTTCCACCGAAGGCATGTGAAGTTGAAATTTGATGACTGTCTGTGTTTTTTAGAGTCAGTTCACGTTTGGAGTTTGTTGCTAAAGTACTTCACTATCACTTCTGAGAGTCCTCTGGGTTTCTTTTGTACTGTTTCTGTAAGCCTGAGTATTTCAAAATGCATTTGTATTTCTGAGGAGGAGGCAAGATCTACATGACTGCTGTGGGAGGAAAGGAAAGGGATTGTTTCTGGTAACTTCAGTTTTTGTTTCCCCATGGAAAGAGCAATTTATGCAATTTGAGTAGCTTGTTTTGAGCCCTGTTTGTTTAGAACCAAAACTTGTCCAGAAGCTGGATTTGCTTACTGCTTCTAAACCACATTGATGGCACAGCTTTTAGAGGAATTACAAGTAGGGATGCTATTTATACCTAACACTGTGTAATTTTTTAATACATATTTATATAAGTCTGCCTCATGTGAAAGCTAAACACATCACTCTTCATAAGTGAAATATTCTTACCGTGGTTTTCTCTTGCAGCTCTGTTCAGACCTGGTGTGAGATACGACTTTTCACTATATGGCTGCAGACCCAGTGGTTATCAGTTACTGAAAAACGTAACTGGGTATATGAAAGAGCTTCGTAAGTACACTTTATCATTCGGGATCTTTACAAAGTGAATTTAGACTGTGTCTATTTTTAGCTCAGTGTTGGCAGAAGATTGAGGCTAGGTCTCCATACAGTACTACTGACTTCTGCTTGTTTTCTGTATATAATCATAATACTTTTTCCCAGCCGCTTCTCAGCGTGCAATAACCCTGCGTTCTCCAGCTTGTGTGGAGGCACAGCATGCCGCAGAAGTTTGCTTTGAAGACAGTGGTCTTCAGAGCCGAAGCTACAGGCATAATTTGAGCTGCAGATTCACTTCTGCACAAAAAAAGGCAACTTTTATTGATTTGTGAAGTCAAAGTGAACTTCTGAGCACATTTGGTTCAGCTTAGGATATATAAGAAGTGTCCACAACAATTCTGTTTGAAAGCACTTCTTAGGTCAGAATTAAATCCTAGAGGATAAGCAGCTTTGAGAATTGTGCTTGTATTTCCTCCCATTCCAACCCCATCTGGCTAACTGTGGTTTCATCCAGGGCTGAGCTTTTCTTGCATGGAGATGCATTAGTGCCTGAATCATAGAATCATAGAATCATAGAATCAATCATAGAATCCTAGAATCATAGAAAAATTCAGGTTGGAAAAGACCCTTGGGATCATCGAGTCCAACCATTGACCCTACACTACAAGTTCACCCCTAAACCATATCACCCAACACCACATCTAAGCGACACTTGAACACATCCAGGCATGGCGACTCAACCACCTCCCCAGGCAGTCTATTCCAGTGTCTGACCACTCCTTCCGTGAAGAATTTCTTTCTAATGTCCAGCCTAAACTTGCCCTGTTGCAACTTGAAACCATTCCCCCTGGTTCTGTCCTTAATTACTTGTGAGAAGAAACCAGCACCAACCTCTCTAAAATGTCCTTTCAAGTAATTGCAGAGCATGATGATATCCCCTCTCAGCCTCCTCTTCGTCAAACTGAACAGACCCAGCTCCCTCAATCGCTCCTCATAAGGTCTGTTCTCCAGGCCCTTCACCAGCTTTGTTGCCCTCTTCTGCACTCGCTCCAACACCTCGATATCTCTCCTATACTGAGGTGCCCAAAACTGAACACAATACTCAAGGTGCAGCCTCACCAGTGCTGAGTGCAGAGGGACAATCACCTCCCTTCTTCTGCTGGTCACAAAATTTCTAATACAAGCCAGGATGCTGTTGGCCTTCTTGGCCACCTGGGCACACTGCTGGCTCATATTCAGCCGGCTGTCAATTAGAACACCCAGTTCCTTTTCCGCCGTACAGCCTTCCAGCCACCCTTCCCCAAGCCTGTAGCTATATGCTTTCTATTCCCCAGTATCAGAACATGGCTTTACCCTTTGGTGTCATAACTGTATTGTATTGTAACTACAGCACCCATTTCACTTTGAAGTTTCTGTGCTTTCTGCTAAAGCAGTTTGCTTGGAAAACTGAGCTGCTGACATAATCTGAGCCCTTTGGAAATGCTGTCGTTTATTTCATTGCAAAGGTTGAAGGTGAGGTTAAGGCAATTATACCAGAAACTCAAATTTCAGCCATTTGTATCTCTCTAAAAATCTTGAATACTTTCCCAGAAGGTTTTTTTTCATATGTGTTCTCAAAATGTTAAAAACTTTCAAGTAAAAGGATAAAGACTTTGGGGGACTAAAAATGCATCAAACGTGCGGAGGAAACATATTAGGACCTGAGAGGACTTTGGACAAGAGCGTAGATCAATTCTAAACCATCAGATCTGCCTTTGACCAGATAACCATCAAGACGAAAATAGATGCATTCTGAAATGTTAGTTCAGCACTGGTACATCAATGCCAAATGTCAGATGATGTCCTGATGCACGTGTAGCACTGCTGTAACACTTTCAGTGGGGTACAGGTGTTGGAATAAGGACTTGGGAAGCCTACTAGGAGTAGTTTTTTGAAGCTGATATAGATTTCCATGGTGAGAGTGTGAAGTTTGTTTAATTTGAAGACAGGCTATGAAGTCACAGAGATAAATCCTTTAAAAGCTAAATAATTTGTGTGCTCTAGATGTTTATGCAGTCTTTGGGGGTTTGTTGCAGGAAGAGGATGTTTACATGTGTGAGTGTGTAAGAAGGCTGCCCAAGGAGAGATATTTCTTTCATCTTCTCGTAGTAGATAATACTGCAGTAATTAATAGCAATGAGACCAATGTACTTCTATTTTTGTAGTATCACCTGCTTAACTTTTTTACATGTTCTTGACAGTGAGGGAAAACTATACAGGAAAACGTTGAAAATGCTAGCCCTGAAATAAAACTGATGGAACACTTACATGAATTCAGCATTTAATGATAAGGTGATTTCTTACTGACTTTTCCCTTTGTTATTCTCCCTACAGCTCCAAAGCGTGCACCGAATTTTACTGTAGAAGAAACTTCTTCAGATTCTATATTGGTAAAATGGGAAGACATTCCTATTGAAGATTGCCAGGGTTTTTTAGAGGGATACCGACTTTCCTTTGCAAAAGGTGAAAAAGATGCTTTAAAGCCTAGGCTTTTGGAATCAGGTAAATGAAATATGTAGGTTGCAACTTCCTTGCTCAGGCTTTTATTTTTTAATAACTTAATTTCACTTTAAAAAATATGCTTCAGTCATAATTCTGTTGCATTACTCACTAGCATAATTGACCACTGATATATGACAAAGGCATTTGAAATAATCAGCTCCTTGTGTGGTTAGCAGTTGTTTTTTAATATAAGGCAAAAGTCAGAGAAAACTCTGGCTCACTGGGGCCATAGAGCTATGCAGTGATTAAGTGTCGATGTGACACACTGCCCTGTGTACAGATACCCTGCGTAGATGAGACATGGGGGAGGTGACACAGCTATATTTAATCGGGTACATTCTTTCACTACCTGTCTTGTAAGGACATCTCTGTACAGATCTAAAGCCTTTCTTGTGTTAACATAAGAGGACAAGAAGGAATGAAAGAAACTCAAGCCAGTCTGTGGCAGCAACAGACTCCTGTGCTGTTTGGTGGGGTGTAAGCAAGCAGCATTGCTAGGATTTTTTTATTTCAGTTCTCCTTTACACAGACTGTTCCCTAGGGTTTGTGTGCTTACTTCAAGCAAGTCTTGCTAAAGCTGAGGCTGTCTTTGTGAATCTTTTCTTACAAAGTTATCCTTTTCTTACTGCTTCCAAACAAATAGGGAATCCAGAACTTAAAGTTAAGAATATCACTGACTTGACAAAGAAGTCTTTGAAAATACTTGATCTTCAAGGCAAAACAAGTTACCAACTGGACCTACAAGCCTACACTGCTGGTGGGTTGAGCCCTCCAAACAGTCTTTATGTGGTGACGAAGGAGGACTGTAAGTAGAATATCTCTTTTCATTAATGGTCTTCAGCACAGGGGCTGCACAATGTCTATAAAGATGAGCTTGTTTTTGTAGTTTTTGTTCTGGTCCCCTTAGGTAGTTTGGACATGCAGTCTTAATTTTTAATTTATTTAGTGGGCTATTTTTAAATACAAAAAATGGTACAGTTCAGGGTGAGGAAAAGATCCTTTCCTATTAGAACTACCTTGTAGTCCATGGTAAAGAAAGCAAGGAAAATAAGTTCACAACTACTGCTGAATATGGTGGAGTTTGAACTGAGTCTTCTCAAGCAGTTAGTTGTTTTTGTTCCATTTCCCATGATGAATATCTGGTAATACATGGTGGGAAGAAAGACACTGTGGAAATATTTACCAGTTTCAGAATTATAAACAGATGCCTCTCTGCTTTGAATTCAGTTTTATTGATCCCCTGACAGACAGAAACAAACTCAGAAAAAAAGGGAAAAAAAAGGATTGATTTTGGGGAGTCAAAAAAAAAATTTCGTATGAAAGACTAAACACCGGGGTGCAACTAAAATACATGAAAAATCAAACTTGAGGCACTTGACATCAATGGAGGAAGGCAGTGAGAATGTACCGGAGATGAACACTGGGGATTAAAAGCATTGTAAACCATAAGGGCTGTGCAGTTTATGCAACGAGCTGTTGGCCTGTAAGAGCCATTACCAGGGATTTGGCCAGCCCAAGTAACTTGAAAGTGCAATTCCAGTGCTAGCTGAGAACAGAATTACAGTGGCAGTCAGTCTTGTGTTGCACATGAAGCCTTTCGCAATTAAGCAATCTGAGAGAAATATCTGCTGACTCCTGTAGTTATCCCTGGATCAGCTGTTTATTGGTGGACTTTGCCCTTCCAGCAGAGAGGTCTGTGGTATAAGTCACTGCAGACCACTATTGGCCAAGTTTGATGAAACGGTCTCTAATCAGTGGCAATGTTAGAGAGGGCATAACCTTGCTGGTAATTTTGGATATATATTTATTGTCTTTTCATTTTTTGTCCCCCAGCTGTAGGGTTAATCATTGCAATTCTCATCCCCGTTGCAGTGGTTGTGCTGCTTGGAGTGGTGGCCAGCATCTTCTGCTACCGAAAGAGGGAATGGTAAATGCTTGCGTTCAGTTCTGATCTTTTTCTGGATGTGTTTGCTTCAGTGCTGGAGTTTTCCTTCATTTTAGTTGTTCTTTTTTCTTTTTTTGCCAATTACCCAAAAATGTGATGGGCTTTATTTAAAGGTGGGTGGCAAAAACACATTGTAGGAGGTTAGGATATGAGTTGGAGAGAGGTTAGAGTGAGGAATGCAAAAAGGTTTTGCAGGAGTCTGTCCCAGAGCGTGTACCATTTATAAATAGTTTCCAAATAGAAAGAGGTTGGCGATATACTATAATTTGTGAGCCATCCGCAAACACTCAGGTAGGCATCCCATCTTCAGCTTTTTGAAAACGTGGCGTATCAAGTTCCCTAGTTTAAAAAGAAAAAAAAAAAAAAAGATTTGCTGTTTTTTCCATTAAATACTCAGTGAAAGTGTAACACTAAATGTTTGTGCCAGATGTCTTCAGTATTCTGAATTAAAGGGAAATGTCCCGAGTCCTTCTGTGTATTCATAATCTGTTTCAGGGCTTGGTAACTTCTAAAAGTTTTTTTCTTCCCCATTTAAAGGATTAAAGAAACATTTTATCCAGAGATCCCGAATCCTGAGAACAGTAAGGCACTGGAGTTTCAGAAGAACATCTGTGAGGTAACTCTCATTTTAAATCTATTTCAAAGTTCTGAAAGGTATTGTGAGTAAAGAATTCTTTTGCAAACTTTGAGTCTTCTGCTCCAATTGTAGAGAAAACTATGTGGCAGGGGGGAACAGGACTTGTCAGCTGCTGTCTAGAGGTTCTTTTAGATAACGTAATTACTTGCAGTGTTTGAACTAGGGAAGAACTGCTACATTTCTCTCCTGCACTAATGAGAAGTGTCATGTACATGACAATGGTGTGTGGGACTAACATACCTGTCTTTGTCGTAGTGTTAGGAGAAGTAGAAAGTCTGGAGAAGCGTACATGCCATATCCCGAACCTCCTGGTAGACATAGTAGGTGGAAATCAGTGTAATATTTAAACAACCTTCTGGAATGGGTTATACAAAGCCAAGATTTAGGGAAAG